TCATCTGTTCTAATGAATTGATATTTCCTAGGAGAGGACATTCCTCTGAAACATAGGTAGGAGACTGACAGTTATGACATCCTGAGGCAGAGACATGATTGATTTGAGCTGGAGCTCGTTCCTTAATTTCTAAAGCTTCTAACATTCGCAGAATCGTCGCCATCTTCGCTTCAGAAGCAATGTTTGACTCTAAGGAAAGACCACAAGACTTAGATTGGGGAACTGATGAAACCCTATCACAAGACTTAGATTGGGGAACTGATGAAACCCTATCATCGCACTGTTCCCATTGCATTGTTTTTTCAGAAAGACTCTCCAAAAACTCCCAAGCTTCATCAGCATTTTTCCTCATAAAATCCCCGTGGCACATTGATTCTAAGGAAGTTTTTGCAGAATAATCTAATCCCTCATAAATTATTTAGCACAATCGCCATTTTTCTAAACCGTGATGAGGACATTGGATGAGAAGATCTTTAAATCGGTCAAAATACTTCCAAAAAGGTTCTCCCGGGATAATTTTAAAGTTTTGAATGCTGTTCCTAAGCTTTACCGTTTTATGAATAGGAAAAAATTTCTTAAGAAAAACGGTGACAAATTCATCCCAAGTTGAGATGGAATTTGTTGGTAAGCTGTACAGCCATTTTTTAGCTTTATCCTTAAGAGCAAATGGAATAAATCTGAGTTTGATTGCATCTTCGTTTAATTCTCTCATTTTAATCATAATACACACTTCCTCAAATTCCGAAATAAAAATATATGCGTCTTCTGTTTCATTACCAAGGAATTTGGGAAGCATGTTTATGTATTGCGGTCTAAGCTCAAAACTTATTCCATTTGTTTCGGGGAGCCTAATGCATGAGGGGATTGCATTCCTAATGGGATAGCACATATCATGAAGAACGGGTGGATTAGGATGCTCCATTTCTATGATTGGTTCAAAGCGAATTAATCGATGTGTATTATCCCTAATCCACTGTTGCATACACCAAAATATTTCTTCTTATTTTTTTTAAAATTTTTTTTAAAGAAAAGAAAGAAAATTAGTTTTTCATTTCTTGGATTGGTTCAACACGAATTAAACGATGAGAATTATCCCGAACCCAAATTTGCATACACCAAAACAATTTTTTTTTTAAGAAAAGAAAGAAAATTAGTTTTTTTTTTGAGAAGATAAAGAAAAAGAAAAATCCTAACTAAAACAAATCAAAACAATCACTTTTCAATCACTCTAATTCTAGGGTTTAGCCTAATTCACTAGACCAGCTCCTAACCAAAAACTCCTACAGTGAAAAGATCAAAGTTTTACCCAGGTAGTTAGCCAGGTAAGGATAGTACTAGAGGGTGATCAAAGATCAATTAAGTACCTCTTTCCTTGCGGAGCGCTTTACGCAACCCCTAAACCTTGCCTTAGACACCAACTAATCTGAGAAAACTTAAACCGGTTCACTTAAGGATTTCTTGTTCCTTATTGAGCTCGAATTCTTAGGGGCCAACGTCTAATGAGTTTTATTAGGCTTGGGTTTGTGAAGTGAGGAATTAGTGATTTTTGGGCTAAGGAAAGGGTGATGAAATCCCTCACCTTATCTTGATTATGGGTTTTTGCCCTTAAAAATATTTTTAAGTGTGTGCCAAATCAAGATGCTCAAATCACTTGGTGAATTCCTACTATCAATATGAAATGCAACCCTATGAATTAAAAGCAACTAAAAAGGATGGAAAAGAAAAATCTTTTTTTTTAATTAGGGTTAACACCTAATTGTCTCTAATTGTGAAGAAGTAGCTAAAGGGTGGAATTAAAAACTAGAAAGAGGACTTACCCGAAAGCAAATCTTCAAATCCTAGTTCTCCAATCCGCGATCTTCAAGCTCCAAGCGTTTCCTTCACAAAAAACACACAAGTTAAAGAACCAAAATAATTAAAACCTACTTAAGCACCTTCCCCGGCAACGGCGCCAAAAACTTGATGCGGCATAAACATGTACCAAAAAGGTTGCAAGTGCACAACCGTGTCAAGTTATAGTATTTAAGATACAAAAACTTATTGCGGCATAAACATGTATCAAAAAGGTTGCAAGTGCACAACCGTGTCAAGTTATAGTATTTAAGATATCGATCCCATGAGGAAGGTGTTTTGTAGGAGAAAATATAAAATCGGTTCTTATGTTATGTGCGTGACAAATAGGAGTGATGGTTGAATGTGATTGTGGAGAGATAATGAGAGTGAAAGTGATAGTGTGTGAAGCGGCACAAAAGTTAAGTGAGAGTGGATGTGATAAAGAATGGTTGTGATCAAATAAGGCAAGAAGGAAAAAAATGAATAAAATCAAGAAACAAATGAAAAATCAAGAATGAAGAACAAAATTCTAGAATAAAAGAAAATGTAAGAAATTAAAGATGGTGGATTCAATTATAGATATGAGTAATCTAAAATTGAACCAACTTCTTAGAAAATGGTGATTCCCTAGAGGGTTCTAGCCTAAAGGTGAATCAAACAAAATAAAAAAAAACAAAAAGAAAAAAAAACTAAACCCAAGAGGGTTCTAGCCTCAAGGTGAATAGTACAAGAAATTAAAATCTAACTACAAAATAAATTACAAAATCTAAATTATAAAATAAATTGCAAAAAGAAAATAAATCTACTCTATAAGCATGAAAATAAATCTAATCTATGAGCATGAAATAAATCTAAGGCAAGAGGGTTCTAGCCTTTTGGCTATTTAACAAGAAAATAAAATCTAACTACAAGCATAGAAATAAATCTAAACTAATAAGCAATAAAAGAGAAAAAAAAAAGAAATGCAAACCTTCAAATAATTCTCCATCTTCATCTTCATCTTCATCATCCAACAAAGAGAAGAAGAGAAAAATTTAAAGTGGTGAAAAAATTATTATTATTAATTGTAACAAAAAGTTATAATTTTGGAAGGCCTTCTCAATTAAGAGTAGCCCTCCTCTCCAAAAGGAGTTACAAAAATTTTCACACCTCTAACCCCTCACTCTCTATCCCTATTTATAGTAATCTTCAATGAATATGAGCCATTGGATTTGTCTTGAGCCCCAAGCAACAATCTTCACCTTTGAATTTACTTTTTGTTCTTCTCTAGCCCAACATAGGAGGCCCATATGATTCATTTGATTTTTAAAAGAAAATCAAATCCAATTGCAGCAGGTCCGGCCCATCTTTGAAGAAGCCCATTTGATGATTCATTTGTCTATTGGCATTTGATTTTTGGAATTAAATGAAGAGCTGCAGCAGTACCATAGGTCCGGTCCCCAACCACATTTTGTTTTCGGAATTACATGCAACAACCCAAGTTCAATTGCAGCACACAAGTCCAATGAAAAATGGCTCATTCATAATCCTCTTGTAAAAAAAATAAAACTGCAGCAGGTCCACAAATCTGGCCCACAACACTCAAGTCTGGTCTTCACAAATCAAAATGACTTTCGGCCCACACATGTGAATTAAAAGCAGCCGGTCTCCATTTCCCTTGGTGTAATCTTTTTGCTTTGGGCCTTCAAAAAGTCAAAAAATTCACTTAGGCTTCTTGAATCATTTCTTCATTTAATCAATAGGTTTTTGTTGAGAGATGGGAAGTTGAGATTTATTCTTCATTAATCTGCAATTTAAAAGATAAAAACAATTATTAGTGATATATTTATTCATATAAAATAGATAATGAGGGTATAAAATTGTAATAAAAATGTGATTATCAGTAGCCTCCACGTCCTCTTCGATATCTTCTTTGATATTCATTTTACTTTGCAAGGTTTCCTCTAGATTCTCCGCTTGATTTGAACTAATGTTTATATCTTGTTCATAAGCTTGCAGAGAACCTTGCAGCTCATCAATAGAAACTTCGGAAAGGTCTTTAGACTCTTGTATTGCTGGAATAATATATTTGAATTTAGAGTCTAAAGTCCTAAGTATCTTCTCCATAATTCTTACATCACTATTTGCTTCTCCATTTCTCTTCATTTGATTAGTTATTGTCTGAACTCTACTAAAATAGTCAGATATTGATTCTGTAGCTTTCATATTCAAATGTTCAAATTCAACTCTTAATGCTTGGAGGTGTACCTTTTTGGCTCTTTCCGCACCTTGATAGGATTTTTGTAAAATCTCACATGCTTCTTTAGAAGACAGGACGTTGGAGATCTTCTCAAACGCCGATTCATCTACGCATTGGAATATTAGGAACAAAGCTTTTTTGTCTCTTTTTCTGACCTCTTTCAACTCATTCTTCTGAGTGGCGGTGAGAGTTGCTTCTGCTGCAGATGATTCCGGTTCAGTGTAGCCATTCTCCACGAGCTCCCACAAGTCTTGCGAGCCGAGCAAGACTTTCATCTGGATACTCTAGTTGTCATAATTGGTCTTCATCAGCTTCGGAATCTGTGGCTGGATTATATTCGCCATTTCGTACACGAGCACCTTCGATTGGCCCGGCTAGATCTAACTCTGCTCTGATACCACTTTGATGGAATTTAAAGAATACAACCCTCTACACAAAGAAAATTTTTATTGATAGAATAGATAATACAATACTTGTTCTTACAAGAACACCTCACTTTCATACAACTCCTTTATTTTGGTGGACACTCACACAAGGCTACACTACACACTCAAGCTCTCAAGCTCACTTCTTGCTTGCTTGCTTGCTTAAATGAGAGCACAAGACCCCTATTTATAGTTGTTTAATAGGGCTAGGAAGTGTGTAGAAGAGTTAATCCTAGCCATACATTACTAAAAAGTTTCTAGAAGAATAAATACTAGCCATACACTTGTATCTTCCTAGAAACTTCATGGTTGATATTTTGTAGGATGTTACTAAAAAGAAGTTCTAGAAAGTTATTCTAGAATAATCTAAGTTGGTGAGGAATTCTAATAGAAAAAGAGTGCCTTAATTAATTAGACTCTATATAAACCGATACCTCCTCATGCTCTTGGTGCACAAATCCTTACGATTCCAGCTTCAAAGCAGCATGGCCTCAGTAAGATTCCTACGGCTCATGAGCTTGCTGATCTTGGGTGTCTGGGCTTTCCAGGCCTCGGCATCCCGCAGACTCGGCGGGGTCCCCGTGTCGGAGATGCATGAGCGCTATGAGAATCTCTGTCGGTGCTTCTTGTTGGTGTTGCAATTCCTTCATCAGACTCCTGAGCCATATTGCTTGACACGCACATGTCGATGCTGCTATGTATTCTGCTTCGCAACTTGATAGAGCGACGACAGACTGCTTCTTTGATGACCATGAGAATGTTGCTGATCCGATATTGAACATGTAGCCAGATGTGCTCTTTCTTTCATCTAAATCTCCACCATAATCGCTGTCGGTGTAGCCGACTAATCTTGAATCTGCACACTGTGTATAAAATAATCCTTGATCAATACTTCCTCGGACATACCTAAGAATTCTCTTGGCTGCTTTGAAATGCTCCTGTCTTGGCTCCTCCATATATCTGCTCACCAGTCCTACCGCGAACACTATGTCGGGCCTGGTGATGGTTAGGTAGCGCAAGCTCCCGACTAAACTCTTGTATAGAGTTGGATCAATATAGCTTCCTGGTGTGTCTCGCCTCAGCTTCACTCCGACTTCTGCAGGAGTTGCGACTGGATTGCAGTTGCTCATGTTGAACTTCTGAAGGATATCCTTTGCATACTTCTTCTGAGAGATGAAGATTCCTTTCTCTGATTGCGACACTTCTACTCCAAGAAAGTATGACATTTCTCCAATGTCAGTCATCTCGAACTCCTTGATCATATTCTTTTTGAACTCCTCGAACATTTTCGGATTGTTGCCGGTGAAGATCATGTCGTCCACGTAGAGACATACGATCATGATGTCTTCATCCTTCTTCTTGGTATAGAGAGAGTGCTCATACGGGCTCCGATGGAATCCGTTCTTCTGGAAGTATGCATTAAAAAAAATCTGTGCATGTCTAGTCGTTATAACTGGCTAGCCATTTATATGTCTCCAAAACAGGATCTTGTTGGGCATTCTCTGCTGTTGCTGCAGTTGAAGGCATCTCTCAGATCAAAACCGGCAATCTGATATCCCTCTCGGAACAAGAGCTCCTTGACTGCGACACCAGCAGCGAGAACAACGGCTGCAACGGTGGCCACATGGCCAAAGCTTTTGAGTTCATCGTCAACAATGAAGGCCTATCAGCGGACGCCGACTACACGTACAAGGGATTGATGGGTCCTGCGAAAACCTGCAGCTCCAAAAGCTCCTTCTCACATCCGGTCGCGATCAGCGGGTACGAGGATGTACCCTCTAACGATGAAGTAGCGCTACTCAAAGCTGTGGCGAATCAGCCGGTTTCTGTTGCCATCGATGCAGGAAGCTTTGCTCTCCAATTTTACTCTAGCGGCATCTTCACAGGCTCGTGTGGGACTAACCTGAGCCATGCAGTGACTATTGTTGGCTATGGTACTGAGAGTGATGGAACCAAGTATTGGATTGCGAAGAATTCGTGGGGGTCTTCATGGGGTGAGAATGGATACATAAAGATGGAGAGGGATGTCGATGCTGAGGGGGGGCTCTGTGGTATTGCTATGCAAGCTTCGTATCCAACCGCTTGATCAAAAACAAGTGTTTGTTTTCTACGTACTAGCAAGTAGTGGTGTGTATTTTCTCTCCTTTCCTTGTACCTGCCTGAATAAACCAGCTTTGCCCAAGTTATGAAAACTTGTAGCAAAGTGGGCGTGTGTCTATTAAGTTGGGCAACTTTGTATTTCAAGTGGATGTTATGTAATGATTGCTGGTATTGATTCTGTCTTATATAGTAGTTAAACAACCGCTAAAAAGGTCATGGGTATATGAGCAGTGATATATAACTACACTGTTAATCCTATACTATTTCCACATTACAACATAGAAAATTATGGTGTCCATTCTCCTCAACGTTTTTCAAAATTGATGACTCGTTAAGGGACCTCATGGTTCTCTCTCTTGTAGTGCAGATACACTGCATGAGAAAACAGTGTCGTTTTCATTGGAAGTTGTACTGTAGGTGGACACTGTTCCTATCTACAATGCAACTCCAACAAAGAATTACGAAAGCAAAGTGGGCGCCTGTACATAAGTTGTGCAACTTTGTATTTCAAGTGGTTATTATGTAATGACCGCTAGAATTGATTCTGTTTTATATAGTAGTTAAACAACCGGTAAAAATGTCATGGGGATATGAGTAGTGATAACTACACTTAAACCAGTTGTAGCAAACATATAGATAGATGACAAAATTCACAGTGTTGATTAATGAAATTACATTTATGCGATCAAATTGGCAGCATAAAAATTTTTTGAATTACTTTAAATATATAAAGTATAGTGCACGGTGTTTGCACGTGGATATAATTGTCGAATATTCAAAAAATCTTTTTTGCTGATAGAAAATTGAAATTAACCAGCCCTGATGAATAGCATAGAAACGGCTAACAGCCAAAGCATTAGAAAGAGGTAAGAATGTTTTTTATTAGAACTTATATTAAGTATTCATTGTAACGCATTATTAACATCCACATAGTTGATATTATTGTATTTGTTAGCAACCTCATTATGTTTAGCGTGTCGGATGCTATTTTATTTTGCTAAATTTGACAGAAATAAAGATATTTCAATTCAATCAGAATGAATAGAAAATATTCAGCTAGTTAAAATGAATAAGTAAATAATCATGAAGCTAGGAAATAGAGAAAACATAAAAATAGATAACATATAAAACTAAAAATAAAATTTCATGATTTTTTCCCCAAAGAACCAAGTAATTCCGTAGAAATAAGCCAAATTATGGGTAGTGGAATGCCACATTACAAGATAAGAGCAATCTTAAGTTGTCTACACATCTAAAGAATAGACAAAAAGTAGGTTAAACTTCAGAAAATCCCCTAAAATTTTAGCGTGCTTCGCATAATACCCTGCACTATTTGCTTTTTCCACTTAACCCCCTTAAAACTCCAAATGTCACCTCCATATTTTGTTGAGTAGGAGTCAACAATCGGTCCTAAATTCAATGATTCGAAACTTCCTTTCTTTAATCTTGAATTTCACATAGCGAAACTTCAAATTATAATAATACTGATGAAATTGCGGTTAGCATCCGACTTCCTAACGAGATGGGGATTGTCTAACCGGCCATTTCTTAGTTTAGATATTGTAGGGAAGGGCCCGCATAAAAAATGCCATGACATGACCACATAATCCCTATTACTTTTAACTTTTCATCCACTTAAGACCCCAAACTCCAAAGTGGCTTTAAATAACCCTTTAAAGCTTCTAATGTCCCTAAAAAACCTTTTTAGGATTATTGAAACACTTTAGCGAATTTAGGAGTCAAGTGGAATATTTAAAAAATATTGGGGTGGTTTATCTTGATACGCTTAAAATTTTAGGGTTAGGTGGAAAAAGCTTACGCAGTTGGGGATGTTGGAGAAATAGGAATCATTAGGGCAGGTATGTTAGAAAAAACACCCTAATAGTAAACTTACAAATCTAGGTACTCATCGTGAATGAACATTTTTGTAATTATCCTAAAGCATGTAGCGATCTAGGATTTACCCGTGTAGACTTGGTTTTGGGTAGGAATTACTATTCCTTATAGTGGTATTCTGAAGCGGACTTTGCTGGAGCTTTGCTCCATATAAAATAGGATCGCTATACGCCCTTTAAAAGCCCAGATAAGAAGTGAATATGTGTTCGCGTCCATATGAAAGGACTACTATACCACATTAAGAAAACAGATTAAAATAAATTTTTGTCATAGTTCTTAATCCATATATAAAACGGATTGATGAGCCTGCTACAAAAATGTTTAAGGTTTAACTTATAATCTAGAATTTTTGTGTAATAGAAGGCGTATAATTTAATTAAAGAGTAGTTTTTTTTCCTCTTCTTTTCTTTATTTCCCTTGTGGTCGAAATGCCAATAAGGCAAAATGACTTCATTAGACAACACTTTTTCACATAGTGGGACAAGAAACATATAATATATTCTTTTGTTACAAGAACTTTACCAAACAAAATGTGGTGTTTATTTACTAATACCGCCTCGACTAACATCTGCCGTCTAACAAAACAAAACAGAAACAAAAATCAAACCATGAGATTAAATAGCCATATCTGATGCTTGTATTGCAATGCCGTGATGGCGTGAAAAGTCACACGCGCGGTCCAGAGCGACGCTCCTTGGGCCTGGGAAGTAGCCATTGCACTCATCAAATTCGAGGTTCGAAGCAATTCTGGCGCTACTCTTTGCAGGGTGATGGGTGTGGATTGAGCACAGAGCTACTTCTTTGATATGGGCATCGGGTGTGTCGACCCATGGCATCAGTGGAAGAGGAGGCAGAGAGATTTGGTGATGGCGAGCTACAGTTTAAGTACGTTTTTATATTTGTTGAATGGGGTTTGCGGATTGTTAAAGACACTAGAGGATATGAAGATTGCTTGATTAAGAGCCAGGGAGTGAAGCTTACTGGGATTCGCAAAGGACTGTGAATAAGAAGAGCGCAGTGATTTGCCTGGCTTTGCAAACGACAGATCTCTTGCGCCATTTAAACGTATATATAAAGCCACTTTCACTCTTTTTTGTAGACGCGTCTATTCATAAATTTCGGGTGTCACCTCTTTGTTCTTCTGCTTTTCTTTAAACAACTTCTTTAAATGTAATGATTAGCTTAAATTATTAAAGTAGAATATTGTTTAAATGGATTGGGTGGCGTATTTTACATTGCCGTTTGAAGGCGGTAATTTGGCGTAGGGAAAGTTTTTCTTGAACTCCTCTTTTAAAAGGCCGTAGATGATGTGAAGGCAGGACAGCTGGTAATTAGCCAGGACAAGCTTGCAAATATTTGCTGTTTAGTTGGTTGCTTTTTAAAAGAAGCCATTATACGTTTAAAACATGTACCTCATGGGCTCTAGCAACGTAACAAAAGATGAAATATGATATATATAATATATATATATATATATAATATATATTATATATATATATATATTAATATATATATACTATATATATATATATATATATATATAGGCAGAGGCTTCTTAATAAAAACATTCTAGCTAAAACTAAAAACTAATTATCATCAATGGCCTAGGCATTCAGTCAAACAGTCAACAGGACACAGGCCATTAATTACCTCATTAAACACATGCATTAATTACGCTCAACGCAGTGTAATCCAGATATACACTACAGTGATCAACCAAGATTCATACATCAACGAACAGCAGTCCTTTGTAGTGAATCCAGCATTCACTGCGCAGTGATCCAGATTCACTTACCTCAACGAACACGTTTTTCACTACAGTGAATCCAGATTCACTGCCAGTGAATTCCAAACATCATTGATTCGTCGTGAACGGTAATTTAATGCAGGTGTCTGTTGACTGTGTTTGACTGACTCCCAACCATTGCGATTCATCTAGATCCAATGCGATTTATATTGGTTTTAGGTTTTTAGGCTATAGGAGATTTTTATTAGAATTATATAATATATATATATATATATATATATATATATATATAGATATATATATATATATAATCTCTATGCTATTTATATATATAATCTCTATCCTAGTTCAATTACGTTACGCCGCGTACCCATGCCTTACGCTATTTCCTCTCCACTGTTTATTTGGAAGTCCCAGTGATGACTCCATCCGTTGTCTCTATATATGTTGCGGTTATAATTTTTTAGATATGGCGGTTGCATATATTTTGATTTTTTATCCTAACGACGTAGCCGGAGCAACTTGATTAAATTATGTGACAAGCACAGGCGACTCAATTAAAAACACCCACGACGGCACTTGAAAACATAGACACTAAGGCATATTGCCCTAGGGCCCATTTTAATTGGCGGCCTCCCAAAAATATTTTCTCTCTCTCTCTCTCTCTCTGCTCTCTACTCTAATATATATATTATATATATATATATATATATATATACTATATAATATTATATTAATATATATATATATATATATATATTATATATATATATATATATATATATATGCCCATTTTCTTCACTTCAAAATTTAAAATGAACGTAGAACCAAAATTTTTGCTGAAAACATGTAATTAGAGAGTAAAGAATAAAAATTTAATGAGAATGAAACTATGACGGTGAGACTTTCACCTAACAGAATCTGTTGTTAAAATTAATTATTTCAAACTATATAGATTGATAATGCCATTTCTTTCACTTCAAATTAGGTTGCAACGGTTTAAGATATATGCCATGATAATTTTGCTTTTTGTATGATTTGTAGAAAAATAAAAATGATTGGTGATGAATTTCTAAAATAAAAATTGTGTTGGATCTGAATTTTTTTAAAACATTGACATGTTATCGATATGATGGATTTATATTTATTTTCAGAACTAAAAGTTTAAAAGAAATAATAAACACTGAATTAAAACAATCACTTTGGGATACTAAACCTTATAAAAAACTTAAATTATTTTCCCAATGCATGGATAGCTTATAGAAATCACTACTGACAATACCTGTTAGTATAGCTTCAGCATGCAGAAAAGAAGTTTTTTGCAAAATTAAGATTAATAAAATATTATTTACGCTCAAACATGTCTCAAGAAGATTAAATATTGGCAATTTTATCAATGAAAAGGATTTATTATCAAAGCTTTCAATATAAAAATCTAATTTAGTAACTTTGCATCTCAAACAAGCTAGAAAATTCAAACTTTATTATAAAATCTATTTATTAAAACTTAATGATTTAATTTCTTATTAAATAATATTAAGG